GTCTGACATTATTTATGTGTTTGCTTAGCATCTGTCTCCTACACTAGAACCTGAGATGTACTGGGTGCTCAATAAATTATTTGTTGAAATCTCATTTTAACTGGAAGTTACAATTCATCTAGGGACACATGCCCTATTTGTGGATTTTTAGGATATTAATAATAAAGATGATCTTTCCTACATGGCATTTTTGTGATTTATAACATAAATCGGTTTTAAATGGAAAAATACACCATACATACCTTATCCTTAATTGGGCAGAGTATTTGGAGAGACAGGAAATAACAATAGGAAGTGGGGGTAAAGAATCAGAGAGAAGAGGGTAATTTTGAACAGCAGCACATCTACCAATGCTAACTTTTGCTTGTTATATACGATATACTATCAAATTGTCTACCAGTCTGTGGTTTCTCATTTATCTGTACTTAAAGTTTTATGTAACTCATTAAAGACAATTTAAGGGATACTATCAACCACCATGACCCAATTGATATTTACAGCACACTAAACCCAACAACTACAGAATATATGCTTTTTTTAACTGCACATGGTATGTTCACCAAGACAGAGCATATCCTAGGACATAAAACAAGTCAAAAAACTGAAAAGAACTGAAATCATACATGTTCTCTAACCACAGAAGAATTAAATCAAGAACAAATTTCAATAAGATATCTAAGAAAATCCAAAATATTTGGAAATTAAAACACTTCTAAATAACCCATGGATCAAAAAAGAAATCACAAGGGAAATTTAAAAAGTAGGGGCCGGCCCGGTGGCTCAGCGGTTAAGTTTGCACATTCTGCTTTGGTGGCCCGGGGTTCGCCAGTTCAGATCCTGGGTGCAGACATGGCATCGCTTGGCAAGCCATGCTGTGGTAGGCATCCCACATATAAAGTAGAGGAAGATGGGCACAGATGTTAGCTCAGGGCCAGTCTTCCTCAGCAAAAAGAGGAGGATTGGCAGCAGATGTTAGCCCAGGGCTAATCTTGCTCAAAAAATATATATCTATTTTGTATGGAATGATAATGAAAATACAACATATCAAAATTCCTGAAATTCAACTAAAATAATGTTTGGAAGAAAATTTATAACTTTAGATGCTCACATTGGAAAATAAGAAAGGTCTAAAATCAGTGATATAAGACTCCACTTTAAGAAGCCAGAAAAGAAGAGCAAAACAAGCCCAAAGTAAGTAGAACATATAAAATAATACAGAACAGAAACCAACAAAACAGAAAATAGACAAACAGTAGAGAAAATTAATAGTCAAAAGCTGTTTCTTTGAAAAGACCAACAAACTCCTCGTTTACAATGATAAAGAGAAAAAGAGAATGCAAACCACCAAAATCAATAAAAGTGGGATTATCACTATAGATCACACAGACATTAAAAGGACAGTAAGACTATATTTATGAACAACTTTATGCCAACAAATTTGACAACTTACATAAAATGAACAAATTCCATGAAAAACATAAAAACTTATGAAATTGAAACAAGATGAAACAGAAATTCTGAATAGCTGCACGTCTTTAAAAGAAGTTGAATTCATTATCAAAGAACACTACAAGCCCAAGTGGTTTCACTGGTGACTTATATCAACACTCAAGGAAGGAAAACACCAATCTCATACAATTTTCTCTTTAAGAAAGTAGAGGAGGAGAGAATACTTCTCAACTCATTTTACGAGGTCAGCATAAGCCTAGTGCCAAAACCCGAAAATAAAACTAAAAACAAGCCACAAGACTGAAATTTTAAAAACACACTTCAAAATAAATGTAGGATGACAACAAAAGCCTATAAAAACCTACAGGGTATGACCAAAGTGTTACTCACAACTGAGCAGGGTGATCTCAGGAATCCAATGATGGTGCAACATTTGACAATGTCTCATTATAATTCACTTCATTAGCAGAAGAACAGAGAGAAACTACGTGATCATCTCAATGAATAGCAAAGAAAAGCATCTGATATGCATCGTTCATTTAAAATTTAAGACAAAAATTTGTGACAAACCAAAAGCAGAACTTTTTAAACTCCATAAAGTACCAGAAAATAACAGTTAATTTTAAATTTGAAGGTGAAACCTTAGAAATAGATAGAAGAATGAAGTAGATGTATACAAATTAATATGGAGAGACTCCAAAATATATTTTTGAATAAATAACGGAAGTTGCAGATAGACATAGAAATAAGACTGGCAGAAAAGATACCAGCCAGTCAACTTCTGAGTAGAGGAGGCAGGACCAGGATTGGTGGAAGCACAGGTTATAGAGTGTCATTAAAAGAGACTTTAGCCTTATCTGCCATGTTTCTATTTTTTATAAGGAGAATGCTGTTTTCATGAATTACTTGGATAACTAAAAAGTAATTTTAATACCACAAATTTAAATTCAACATAGTATTGAAAGTCCTAGCCAGAGCAATTAGGAAAGAAAAAGAAATAAAAGACATCCAAATTGGAAAGGAAGAAGTAAAACTGTCACTTTTTACAGATGCCATGATATTAGATATAGGTATTATATACAGAAAATCCTACAGAGTCCACCAAAAAACTGTTAGAACTAATAAACCAATTCAGTAAAGTTGCAAAATACAAAATCAACAGTCAGCCCTCCATATCCACAAGTTCAGCATCTGCGGATACAACCAACTGTTGATTGAAAGACCTACAATGGTTGTGTCTGTACTGAACATGTACAGACGCTTTTTTCTTGTTATTATTCCATAAACAATACAGTATAACAACTATTTACATAACATTTACATTGTATTAGGTATTATAAGTAATCTAGAGATGACTTAAAATATACAGGAAGACATGCATAGGTTATATGCAAATGCGATGCCATTTTATATAAGGGACTTGAGCATCCAGAGTTTGGTATCCATGGGTGTCCTGGAACCAATCCTCCACAGATACCAAGGAAGGGCTGTATACAAAAATCTGCTGTGTTTCTATAGACCAATAACAAACTAACAGAAAGAGAAATTAAGAAAACAATACCATTTACAATTGCATCAAAAAGAATAAAATACTTAGGAATAAATTTAAGCAAGGAGGTGAAAGATCTGTACACTGAAAACTATAAGACATTAATGAAAGAAACTGAAGAAGACACAATTAAACGGAAAGATATTCCATGCTCATGGATTGAAAGAATTAATATTGTTAAAATGACCATACTACCAAAGCAATCTACAGATTCAATGCAATCCCTATCAAAATCCCAATGGCATTTTTCATAGAAATAGAACAAATAATCCTAAAATTTGTATGGAACCACAAAAGACTCTAAATAGCAAAAGCAATCTTCAGAAAGAAGAACAAAGCTGGAAGTATCACACTCCCCAATTTCAAAATGTATTACAAATCATAGTAATCCAAAAGTATGGTATCGGTATAAAAACAGACACATAGATCAAAAGAACAGAACAGAAAGCCCAGAAATAAACCCACACATATATGGTCAATGAATATACAACAAAGGAGCCAAGAATATACAATGCAGACAATACATGGTGCTGGGAAAACTGGAGAGCCACATGCAAAAGATTGAAACTGGGCCACAATCTTGCACTATACACAAAAATTAACTCAAAATGGATTAAAGACTTGAATGTAAGACCTAAAACTATAAAACTCCTGAAGAAAACCTAGGTGGCAAACTCCTTGACATCAGTTTTGGTGACGAATTTTTGGTTTGACACCAAAAGCAAAAGCAATCAAAGCAAAAATAAACAAGCGGGACTTCATCAAACCAAAAAGCTTCTGCACAGCCAAGGAAACCATCAACAAAATGCAAAGGCAACCTACTGAATGGGAGAAAATATCTGCATGTCTTCTGATAAGGGGTTAATATCCAAAATATACAAATAATTCATACAATTTAATAGAAAAAAATCAAGCAACCTGATTAAAACAATGGGCAGAAGATCTGAATAGACATTTTTCCAAAGAAGACATACAGATGGCCAACAGGTACATGAAAAGATGCTCAATGTCACTAATCACCAAAATCACAAAGATACCACCTCACACCCGTTAGAACGGCTATTATCAAAAAGACAATAAATAACAACTGTTGGCGAGGATGTAGAGAAAAGAGAATCTTTGTGCACTGTTGGTGGGGACGTAAACTGGTGCAGCCTCTATGGAAGACAGTATAGAGGTTCCTCAAAAAATCAGAAATAGAAGAACCATAGGATTCAGCAATTCCACTTCTGGGTACTTAACTGAAGAAAACGAAAAAACTAATTCAAAAAGATATATGCACCCCTATTTTCATTGCAGCCTTATCTATAATAGCTAAGATATGGAAACAACTTAAGTGTCCATCGATATATGAATGGATAAAGAAGATGTGATATAGATAGATAGATAGATACACACACACACACACCATGCAATATTATTCAGCCATAAAAAAAGCGAAAACTTGGGGGCCGGCCCGGTGGCGCAGCGGTTAAGTTCGCACGTTCCGCTTCTCGGCGGCCCGGGGTTCGCTGGTTCGGATCCCGGGTGCGGACATGGCACTGCTTGGCAGCCATGCTGTGGCAGGCGTCCCATGTATAAACTAGAGGAAAATGGGCACGGATGTTAGCTCAGAGCCAGGCTTCCTCAGCAAAAAGAGGAGGACTGGCAGTAGTTAGCTGAGGGCTAATCTTCCTCCAAAAAAAAAAACAACAACAACAACAAAAAAACCGAAAACTTGCCATTTGTGACAACATGGGTGGACCTTGAGGGTATTATGCTAAGTGAAATAAGTCAGAGAGAGAAAGACAAATACCATATGATCTCACTTATATGTGGAATCTAACAAAACAAAACAAAAACAAGCTCATAGATAGAGCGGATTGGTGGTTGCCAGAGACAGGGTTGCTAGGTGAAATGGGTGAAGGGGGTCAAAAGATACAAACTTCCAGTTATAAAATAAGTCAGTCATGGGGATGTAATGGACAGCACCGTGACTATAGTTAATAATACTATAATGCATATTTGAAAGCTGCTAAGAAAGTAAGTCAAAAGTTCTTATCACAAGAAAAATATTTGTAACTACATATGGTGACGGATGTCAACTAGACTTCTTGTGATCGTTTCACAATATATGCCTATACTGAATCATTACGTTGTACATCGAAACTAATATAATGTTACATATCCATCAGGCCTCAATAAATAAATAGTCTACAAAAAATGGTCCTTTGTACTGGATGTACACTGTGGGTGATTAAACCACATGATAAAAATTAAAAAGTAAAAAAAGCACTGGAAATATATACAAAAACCACTTATATTTTTAAAAAATAAGTATGACTATAGCTAAGGATTCAGCTAGTTCTTTCTGGTTCCTTCTAGTCTGGAGACGATAAAGTCACTGTCTTTTAACGCCGTTTATTAATACACCCTGGAACTGAACTGAGTCCATGTAGCAAATCAGGTAAATCTGGATGATGCCAATTTACCAAACCCAGCACCTGGCGGGAAAGCCTCTAGAGTCTGCCAACGTCCTATATATTAGAGTGAAACAGAGACTTTGCCCGATATTCTTTCTTTCCTTTGATTCCCTTCTGGAATAGAACTAATGAGTCCTGACGCCTCTTTCCTGCCTGACGTTTCACCAGGTCTGTGTGACTGTTCGGTTGAGACTACAGGTCAGGATTCACCCTCTCTCAGGCAAAGAACAGGAAAGCGGACTTCCAGTCTGAGGACAGGGCATCAACATATTTATTTCTCAATAAGCACTTGTCGATTTGAAGATAGCTGAGGGGTTCTTGTAGTCTGCCCCCCGTGGAACGAAGCAGCGTCTAAACCTGTCCCAAATGTGTGTGTGCAAACACACAAGCGAATGGAGAACGGAGACGGGGGCCTCCTTCGGCTCCACGCCCGTCTCATTCACCGAGCTGGGGTCGAGAACGCGGCGGCACGGAGGCCACGGCGGCAGGAGCCGGGGTACCCGGGACACCGAGCGCCGCGCTGAGGGCGGAGAGGCGGCGGGGCGGGGCGGCAGGCCTCCCCTCCTCCCCGGGCCGGGGCGGGCCCGAGCCCGCGACCCACCTCTCCGGCGCCGTCCCCGTCACGGCGCCGCGGGACAGCCATGCCAGGCCGCCTGCTGCGGGGTCTGTGGCAGCGATGGCGCCGTTACAAGTACCGCTTCGTACCTTGGATCGCGCTGAACCTGAACCACAACCCGAGGTGAGAGGGCCAGGCGGCCGGAGCGGCGACGACTTCCTTCAGCCCAGCGACGCCACCATGACCGCTGGGCCTGTGGCAAACCGGCCCGAGGGAGGCGGAGCCTCGGGGGCGGAGCTTCAGGAGGCCTGGGGACCCGGGGTTGGGGCCTCAGGCGGGCGGAGCCTGAGGCGACCAAGGAGCCTGAGGCTGGCTGGACTTGAGTGGGCGGAGCCAGAGGCGGGGGTGGGGGTCGAGGTGGGCGAGGCCGAGGCTGCTGGAGTCCGAGAGGGCCCGGCGTCTGATGAGGGCGAGTAGTATTAGGTGGGCGGGGCCTGAGGCCTATTTCCCATTGTACCCCGCGCTCCGAGGGATGCCACGCCGGGCTCGCCGAGGGTAGTCGTGTGTGCTCTTACTCCTGTGTCTGGGCAAAAGATAGAAACTTTTGAAAAAGAGGAAAACTTGTGCCCCCTCAGGGTGCGTGGCCTTCCCTCCACCAAGGCATAGTTAGGAGCTTGAAATTCCTTAGAAAAGCCAAACCCAGGGTTGTCTTCATAGCTCCGTAGTTGATATGTTGAAAGCAACCCAGATCAGCTGTAGGGATAACCGCTTGGAGCAACTGACGCGTACAGACGAGCAAAAAGCCACTGTCGGCGTGTTGGGTTTGGAAACGGAGTCAGTGCCTGCAGAAAGAGATCTAGCTGAGTGGGCGGCCGTGAGATCAGTGTTTTTGCCGGCTCTAGCTAGTGGCGTGCGAGTGATCTGGAAGAAATTCCACATACTGCTCACTTAAATAGGCAAACTAGCTCCGCTGAAGGCCAGTTAATAACCAGAAAGAGCTTTCCTAAAATTTCATACTACGGAAACGTGAATTTAGATGCATCGTTACTATAGAATTGTGAGACAGGAATTGCTTCCTTTTTTCAGAAGTAAAACTAGGACTATTATGGGAATAAAAGTTATGCAGTCATTAAAGAAGTTAAGTACTTCTGGGAGAGAATGTGACAAAGTTTATAATGTTAGCTTAAATTTATCTTTGAAACCATACGCCTATAAAAAGAGCCATTGCAATAAGAGGATGCCCATTACAGTGATAATATTGACATCATGGCTATGAGTGTAGTGGGGAAAAGAGCTAGCTCTGTTTCTGCTTCTGTCTCTCCCGCTTACCAGCTTTAGGACTTTGGGCAAGTTCCCTAACATCTCCAAGCCTCAGTTTCCTTGTCTGAAAAGATGAGATAATGAGTGTATGGACCCAACAGCATTTGGTACTAACTGGGCTTTTCGTAAACATTGGCTATTGTTCACTTGTGTAGGTATTCTTGGGAGTTAGGTAACTAGAACCATCCTTAAACAACTCTTTTCTGTATCTCTTAGTTTTATGCCCTTCAACCACGTGAGAATCACCTTCATTAAGGCCACTAATCCAGAAGGCATCAAGACAGTCTGGCTTTTATCAGTTGAAGGGTAGTGAATAGAAACTTTTCCCATTTTCAGGACCCTCCGATATGTTCCAGAGGAATCCAAAGACAAAATTATCTCAGATGAAGATGTCCTAAAAACATTACTGAAAGTTTTCCAGGCTCTGTTCATAAATGATTTCAATAAACAATCAGATATCTTGACTGTGCTTCCAGAAGTTGTTAAATCAAAGTATCAAGACCTACTGTCAGTTCAACATCCAAGGCTGAAATTGCTTGAACACAGATATCAACAGCAAAATATCTTTAAACCAGAAGAAATTCTTTATAAGACATTGGGTTTCAGTATTGCTCGAGCAACTAGTTCATTGATTTCTGCTGGAAAAGGTGTCTTCGTTACTAAAGGATTGGTACCAAAAGGCGCGGTTGTATCTATGTATCCTGGTAATGGCACAATTAGTACTTTGCCAAGAGTTTCTTATACTGATAAATATAAATTCAACAAAATACCCTGCCCTGTAATCCTTGGAATAAGGGGTTGAATTGGAAACTCAGGTTTCCACAGATTTTTAAACCTTGATTTGGAAATTAACTGTAAATTATCTTATGTATTAGGAAGTATCCTGGAGTATTTGTTGGGATAAATACATTTTTTTAAGGATATTTTTCTGGTCAATGTTTAAATTTAGGAGAATATAGTATGGCCTACTTTGATAATACTGATTACTTAAAAAGCACTAGAGAATAAGTCAGTTTGGCTTGGATAATTGATAACTAGAGGTAAAAATGGTATGGGTTAAAAAACATGAAAGACAGAATTTAAACGCATAAATCACTGAATAAAGACTTTCTTGCCATTTCTACACTTGGACAGTAAAGCAGCTTCTTTGCAAAAGATCATTGACTAGAATGTTCAGTAGAGTATGTTGTTTGTTAAACTAACATATTATTTGGTGTAGTGGAAAATATGTGTGAATGTTTAAGTCAGATATACCTATTTTTTTTTAAAAAGTCATTCTACTGTTTTCTAATTTTACGTCCCTAAGCAAGGGAGTCTCAGTTTCCTCCTGCACAACTAACGTAACTCTGTAAAGACTAACTAGAACAAGCCAGCAACAAACTAATAGCAAAATAAACTGAATAGATTAACATGCCTGAAACATAGGAAGCACTCAATAAGTATTAATTTTCTGCTTTCCTCCATTGCCAGTGAAAGGAGAAACAACCTGAATGTCAGACTCGTCTATTCCCATATATGTCAACATTATTTAATTGGTTATTAACAAAATACATTTCTTAAAAGACTCTTTAATAGATGTCAGATCACACTCTACTTAAAAAAAACATAGTATGACTTTCTAAAACTGACCCTAAAATGTGGTGTTCACATTTTTGTTCACCAAAATAGTCATATTATTATTCATCTATGTGGACATGTTGGTTCTGTGCTCCATCTGCTCCTGGGCACTCTTTAAAGGGGGAAAGTAGCCAAAGAGAATGCGATGGTCTAAACTGGAGGTGAAATATTAGAAAAAGGTGGCGAAATTAAAACAATTTCTTCGATGTTATGTTTATGATCCAGAGAAATGTCTTTATCATGAAGTTTATGATTTTTCCATGTTGCTATAGTATGTCTTTGTCTTGTTGTATAATAGGTACAGTATATCAGAAGTATGAGCCAATCTTTTTCCAATCCATTGGAAATCCATTTATTTTTAGATGCTTAGATGGGATACTCATTGATGGAAATGACAAAGGAATATCAAAAGTCGTATACAGGTAAGTTGGAGCCCACATCCAGATTTAATTGTGGGAGAGGGAACCACACCACAGTGACTCTGAGCCCCGGCTGTTACACTTCAAATAAAAATCTATGTGGGTAGCTGCTGTGTACCAACTCACTTGCCCTGTTGATTAGACAAAAGTTTTTTCAAGAGAGATTGCACTTGTTCAGTTCTAGGGTTAATTTTGTATTTTTGAATTTTAAGATATAGAAGAACAATCCCTTAGCTCTTGCTTTCACCTGTTTCAGATCTTGCAATGGGAGGGATCGACTTGGCCCTTTAAAAATGAGTGATAGTACATGGCTAACGTCAGAAATTCACAATCCACTGGCCGTAGGACAGTATGTAAACAATTGTTCAAATGGTAAGTTGGCATCATGGGGCTGTGAGACGTGACATAAAGACAGCGGTGGGAATTCTCCACCATCTCTGCTGCTCAAAGCCCTTAACTGTAACTTTTTGAGGGCAGATATCAAGGAGAGAATTTGGGGAAATAATGATATACTTTAATTGGAATTCTTTAATTTTCTATTTTTGTTCTGATTTTGCTGTACACATAGACAATTAATAACTATTCTTTTGATCATTATTATTTTAGCTTTTTTTTTGTCTCGAGGAAGATTAGCCCTGAGTTAACATCCACCACCGATCCTCCTCTTTTTGATGAGAAAGACTTGCCCTGAACTAAGATCTGTGCCCGTCTTCCTCTATTTTATATGCAGGACACCTCCCACAGCTTGGCTTGATAAGCAGTGCATAGGATCCGAACTGGGGAACCCCCGGCTGTTGAAGCAGAGCTTGCAAACTTAACCACTGTGGCACCAGGCCGGCCCCAATTGTTTTAGCATTTTTTAATAGTTAACTCAGATTATTTTGTCAGTGCCTCCATATAGCCTTATAGCTTAATCACTAGACTCTTATCCCCTTTACTGTGGCTAAGTTTGTGAGTCACTTACCTTCTGTAGGGCTTGACTTTCCCATAAGTATGTTTGTTCATCTGGCTACATTTAGCATAGGCTGTGGTGTTAGGGAGGCGTGAACTTGAATCCTGACTCTTCTACTTAACCTTTAACCTTCCTAAGCCTCTGCTTCCTGATCTTCAAAAAGTAAATAATAGGGCCGGTCCAGTGGCGCAGTGGTTAAGTTCCCACGTTCCGCTTCGGTGGCCCTGGGTTCACCAGTTCCGATCCCGGGTGTGGACGTGGCACCGCTCATCAAGCCATGCTGTGGTCAGTGTCCCACATATAAAGTCGAGGAAGATGGGCACGGATGTTAGCTCAGGGCCAGGCTTCCTCAGCAAAAAGAGGAGGATTGGCAGCAGATGTTAGCCCAGGGCTAATCTTCCTCAAAAAAAAAAGTAAATAATAAAACATATGTGCATATGTATATATATAACCTAGCAAAACCTAGAACATAATAGTGGTTATTAATTTGAGCATGTTCGTATAATTTAGAAAACCATACATTGTGTCATAATTCAGTACTGTTTTCCATGACCTTGTAAAATGGCTCTGTTTCTAAAAATTATATACTTGTTCCTAGACAGAGCAGCTAATGTCTGTTATCAGGAATTTGATGTGCCTGCAGTTTTCCCTATAGAGCTGAAGCAGTATCTTCCAAACATTGCCTACAGCTATGACAAGCAAAGGTTAGTTTCCTAGAAGAATTTTTCTTATCTTCTGTCTTATGCTGTACTTCACAAAATTTATTTTCTAAAAGAATGCTATATAGAATTAGGTTGTTTTTACTGAAAAATTATAATTTGTGTATGTTCATCACCCCTTAATAAGTTAATGTAGGCTTACTTGAAATTAAAAATTTTCCTATTTTAAAAAAAATTTCCATTTTGCCTATTATTACCCATTTTTATTCTTTGTAGTACTTTGTAAGTATTAACCTTAAGGTTTTTTTCAAGTGATTCTGTTTTTTTCCTACCTACAACATCTTCAAATACATTTTTACTTTAATCAATTTAAGGTTCACGTTCTCTACCTCACATGAGAGCATCCAGTGGAAGAAAGGAGCCAGATTATGCTGTTATTTCTTTTGCCCATTTCACTATTAGGCTTGGAAACTTAATAGTGAAAGAAAAAGAAATATTCAGAAGATATGTATTTTTGATGTAACATTTATTTTCTGTTCATTAAGTGGAAAATCTACTGAGAACACTCAAGTAACAATTTCTAAATATAAGTAATTCTGTGAAGTTCTTTATTAACAATTCTGTAGGAAGATATAACCTTTATATCATTTCACTGAGCTGCCAGTTGCTAGCAGACCTTATTTTGTATAGGTCGTATTAAATTGTCCGTGTAGGATGGATGATATTTAAAACTTAGACTATTCCTGGTACTTAAAACTTGATAACTTTTCTGTCTCTATATGTGTGTATTTGTGTATTTAACAATTAGGGTTTTTTTAGCCGTATATTCTGGGACTTGTCATTACTGTACAGGAAGAGTTAAATGAGTAGGAACATTGAAGGTTACATATGTCTTAGGTTCATAAAAAGTATTTTTTAAAATTATGGTACCATTTTTGGGAGCCTGAACAGAGAAGCATATTCAGAAGGGGTAGTTACTTCTAAACTTATTGATTTGTGGTCCTTTTAAATGATATAGAATAAACATACTCTACTTTAAAATACCTCTATCAGGGATAAGAACCATTTCCTCATGGAGATCAAATATGTAAACTAAGATGATAGTAAGGAATCTGAACAAAATTACGTCTGTAAAACCCATATTGGTCACATTAAAAATATAAGCTCGTATCTGTTAATGCCTCTAACTTTTGTATATTTTTTTGTTTTCAGCCCCCTTCGATGTGTCGTTCTTGTTGCACTCAGGGACATCAAACAAGGAGAAGAGCTTTTTTCAAACTACTATACAATTGTCAGCTAACTCTATGAATTAGAAATTAGGATTTATACTCAGCTGTTGAGTTAATTTAAATGTTTTTTGTTAATTGTTTCTCTGAGTTTCACCTAAAGAACAAATATTTTGAGACCTAATCGGAATGGGAGTTTTTTGTTTTTATTGATATTATATTTATGTTTCAATTTCATGATAAAAGCTATCTGCTGCGTTATAATTTCAAATTTGCAATGCAATTTTAATTGGTTTTCACCTGGATACACAGAAGCTTATTAAATTAAAATCTACTGCCTGAACTTAGAATTTCAATTTTTCTTTTGTTTCTTTTGTATATCTTTGTGGTGGCTTATAAAATTTTAGCTAAGTCATCAGCAATTCTTATACTGTTGATGTGTACAAACTCCTGTAAAAACATTATTTTTACAGAAAAAACTAAAGCCAAAAATATTTGTTGTGGTGCCATGAGTTAATTGGTATGTGTGTCTAATTTAAAGATTGTTTTAGCTGGGTAAGAGGGAAAAGGGGGGTCATTATACTATTTTCTCTACTTTACGTGAACATTTACACACACACATACACAAAGTTTAAAAGAGAGAGTGAGAGAGATTGTTTTGGCATGGGAATATACTTAAAAGATGGTGGTGGTGGGAGGAACACTAGTCTCCATTTCTCATGTTTCCATGTGGATGGCTTCCATTAGTAATACTCCTGGCCTCTCTCTCCACTCACTGGAGGAAGAGTGCTTTTCTGAGATTATTTTTGGAGAACTATTACCCCATGGTTCAGACCCCTCTAGTTCCTTCTCTGTGGACTCTGCCAGCCAAGAAGGTGACCTGGTCTGCTCTCTGTTCTGTAGTCAGCCCAGCCAGTGACCGAGTGAGTCTAGTTCACACGTAGAGTATTAACTGACCTGGCCACAGCTCTGAAACCACCTTCTCCAGAGAGTTTTATTTGTAATAGTTACTTTGATCTCCATTGACCGGACTCCTGCATCAAACAGTCAGTTCCAAACTTGGATAGAGAGAAGGGTGTTATTTATTGGACCCCTCAAAGCCTAATATGGAACCTGTGTAACCAAATTCTGACCACCTTCCTGCTACAGCTTTTCTCACTTAGTTTACTGCAATTTCAATAGCCTCTTAATCACCTTCCCTGTTCCCACTCCTGCCTCTTTACAGAATAGATCACAAAGGAGCTGGTGGGTGGGTGGCATAGTGGTTAGGTTCCTCCGCTCCAGGTGGGCAGCCCAAGGTTTGCAAGTTAGGATCCCATGCACGGACCTAGCACTGCTCCTCAAGCCATGCTGTGGTGGTGTCCCACATAAAATAGAGGAAGATTGCTACAGATGTTGGCTCAGTGACAATCTTCCTCAAGCAAAAAGAGGAAGATTGGCAACAGATGTTAGCTCAGGGCCAATCTTCCTCACACACACACAAAATAGATCACTAAGAGTGATTCTTTCAAATGTAAAGCCGATCTTAATGGCCTCTGCTCAAAAACTTCCGATTACTCCTCATATCATGGAGTAAATGCTGAAGTCCTTCATGTACATAATCTAGTTGCTCACTACCTCTGCTCTCATCTGCTTGCAGCACCCCAGCCACACCTGCCTCTTTGCCACTCCTTGAACCTGCAAGGCACATGCCCTCCTCAGGGCTTTTGCACTAGCTCTTTCTGCCTGCGAAAACCTTCCCCCAGACAGCCATATTGCTCATTCTCTCCCTGTCACCTTGCCGAACCACCTATTCAAATTTACAATCCCCAGCTTCCACCCCTGAAACTCTCCATTCCACTTCCCTTCGTTTTTTTCTATAGCATTTATCATGAATGTATATGCACATCCATGAGAGCAACTCTGATTCTTTTTCTCAGCCTCATTTGTCTTTTATGTCACCAACATCCTGAGAAACCAGGGAAACTCATCTTGTAAAAAAGCCAATCTACTTGATCAAGAAGATCTTGTTACAGAGAACGTTATGTAAAATATGGAAACTCCTGCAGACATGTTACGTGGACTGAAGTATTTAGGAGTGAAGTGTTGCAATTTCAATGATTTTTAAAAATAGTTCAGAAAAAAATGCATATTGTATAGAAAGATCAAATATGGTGAAATGTTATTGTTCAATCTGGGTTGTTCTTTATACCATTCTTTTAACTTCTGTTTTAAAAGTTCTATTTTTAAAAACAGTTTGGGGAAAAGTCACCATCAACTTAAGCGCAATTTAGGTCACCAAACATTTAGTGAATGCCTACTGTGTGAAGGGTGCCAGGAGATTCAAAGAATAAAACATGGTTCCTGCTCATAAAATGCTCACGGGGAGAGTATAAAGCTTGCCTAGTACCATGACTTGGTCTGGCCTGGAGAGGTGGAGTGGAATGAAGGTATTTTTAAAAAATAAAACATTAGGGGCCAGCCCTGTGGCTGAGTGGTTAAGTTTGCACGCTTCACTTTGGGGGCCCAGGGTTTCACCGGTTTGGATTCTGGGCATGAACCTAGCACCACTTGGTCAGGCCACGCTGAGGCAGTGTCCCACACAGCACAACCAGTACTGGAGAGCTTTGGAGAGAAGAAGAAATAAAACTGGTATTTTTAAAAACAGGTAATATTTCTGTTTTCTTACTAATTTTTTGGATTTATAAATTGCTTATTTCATTTGTGACATTCTTATAAAATGTTTTGAATTCTGCACCAGAAAACACCTTTGTTGTACTATCGGCTTTACCTGTGTAAAAACAGTTTCATCAAAATTGGAGGTACATACACAGCGTGTCTCTCTAAAGTCAATGTCAGCTACAGTGTATTAAACCTAGAAAAACGTGAGAATTCCTGGTCTGAGCCCATGAATTCAGTGCCCCCGTGCACTGTGTTGTCAGAGAACCCACACAGACACAGACACTGAGGGTAAGGACTAAGGATCACTTACCCGGATGGGAAATGGTAAACCCAGTGCTATGTCCCAGGGACTAGTTTAAATCAAAGTGTATAACGAAATGTCCAAGTTTACAGATGCCACGATGCTTTTGAGAAGTTAGAGAAGCAGCAGGCTCAAAAAGCGTACCACTTCTGGAAATTATAGCCCAAACGGATAAGGTCTGGAAGTCACTAGAGATGATGGTGCTCCCGTGAGGCTCTCCCTCCCTAGAAGTCTGAAGTACTATGCAGCTCTCATATGGCACTTGGCTGCACTCTCAGATGTATTCAAAACACTTGTACTTGTCGCCCCTCTGGAGATGCTTCTGTGTATGCGTCCACCATAGAGCCCTGCAAATTAAGGCCTTCTGGTGTCTGTGAATGAAACAATGTGGTTTTAGACAAATAACCAAAGCAGAGGACTCAAGGTATTTGCTTTCACTTTATCCTCTTCTTGTCCTTGTACAAAATCTGGACATTATATGCAATCTGTTTACTGTATATCAAGAATGGAACTAGATAGAGAAAGCTCTGGTCAGAGCAAATGAAATATGAGGACAAACTTGTGAAATTAGGCTAAGATTAGATCTTTAGCTTGAAAATATGAAGGCTTAGGAAGATATGACTAGTCTACAAAACTATCAATATTATAGATAAGAAAGACTAGTTTACTATAAATATATTCTGTTGAATGACAACATCTGATCAAATTTCAGATATGTCATCCTCCTTTAAAAGATACAGCTACCTAGAACAGTGTTTGAAACATAATAGACATTCAATAAATATTTCCTGAATTAAACTAAAAGTATAATCCTCACTTTGAGTGACTAGAATTTTATTATAGATGGAAATTTATTATAGAGGATTTAAAGAAAATCTATTTTATCTTTACCTATCAAATATCTTATTTACTACATCTAAAACCAATTTAACAGTGGTTAAATATCTACCCATGTGTTATAGCTTAAGATTCATTAAATAAAAATCTATTTGTGGCAAACATTCACACAAACCAAGAAAAAAAAAGATTTCCAGATTTTTATTTCTGGAACTGTACACCAGGTATTAAAGTACAACAAATACAAAATAATGCTCAAAAAAATCAGTGTTTATGTACAAATATTAAAATCAATGCAACAATAGCAACTTCCTCTTGAACATCTGATACTAAAACTTGTTCTGATTGTCACTAATTAATCTCATACTCACAGGGTACTTATTTCAAACTGGTACAATTGGAATCACTGGTCATCTAAGAGGAATTTTCATATCTACCATATTTAACAATAAAACTAATAGTTTCCTCCTTTTAGTGAAAAAATTAAGAACTTTTTAAAAAACATAGTAATGTCAATATTTTTATAAATTATTTCAATTTCCATTTGTAGACAATGTGCTTTGAAACTCTGGGTAGACAATCTCCTTGGTGGTCAGGTTTATTCATCAGTTTACATTCAAGGTTGAAATATTCACTAGAGACTTTGGTTAAATTAAATAGTATCATTATGCTCTATTAGATCTGACATTCGCAAATATTTATGACCCTCAATTTTAAAAATTAAAAAGGAAACAATTGCACAATTCTTTGACCTAATTGTACACACTTTAGTATTGTTTAAACAGTATTCTACATCCTTCAAGTAAATTCAGCAGTTGACCATGACAAGAGGAAAACTAAACATTTAAGAAGCTAGCCTGAAAAAGATGCAGTATGACTAACAAAAGTAAAGTATTGCTATAATCACAGCACCAGGTACACTTCTAAACGAGTCCGCTGGCCTCTTCCAACTCCCTGTACACAAAAGATACACCAGCCAACACTGCAACCGCTCACGGTGGATTTTTGGTTTGTTCATACAAAAATAATGCGGCAAAGAAAAAAAACAAAAAGAATTTATCACAGTTTGTTATAAGAATTGTGCTTAACACTTGATAATAAAGGCATTATTGTTTCTTCATATGATTGCAAATCAGTTATTTTCATGCTCTCAAACACAATTCTTCTAATAAACAATAACAAATTCTCTGTTAAGATGCTTAAACGGAAAGAAAAAAACAGTAAATCCAGCTTTTAAAAGAAAATTCAATAAATAGCTATTTTACATGGATAAAGTCATAGTGGTACAATTTATGAATGTCACATCAAGCATGCACAAAACTGGTATATTATACATGGTGGAAGCAGTCAGAAAATATTGAATTAGATCTAAAAAGATATGAAGAATGTACACATATATACAAAACCTTGCAAATTATTGCCTCATTTTAACAAGGAATTAAAAGTAAACGTTACCAGCTAGTTAGCACTCTCTAAGAGGCTAAAATCAGATTGGCATTTAAAAATCTACTAAACTAGCTGGAATTTATTTTTCTCTCATATCATTTTCTG